AGTCTCCTGCCTCAGCCTCCCAAGTAACTGGGACCACAGGCGCCCACCACAATGCCTGGCTATTTTTTGGTTGCAGCCATCATTGTCATTTGGCAGGCCCGGGCTGGATCCAAACCTGCCACCTTAGGTGTATGCGGCTGGCACCTTAGCCACTTGAGCCATGCCAGGTTAGCAGCCAAGCCAGGTTACTAAACTTCTTTGAGCCTCAGTGTACACATTAATGCTGCTATAGCAGAGGCCCATGTCTAAAGCCTAACGCCTTCTGAACAGTATATGCTAAGCACTTTTCATGGACATTATTTTATCTTAATCTTCAAACTGAGCCTATGAAGTAGGTGCGATGATTGTGTCTGTTTTGCATTTGAGCCAACTGAGGCTCAGAGGATCACCAACTTGTGTCAGATCATACCCACAGAACTGGGAAAGAGGCAGAATTTTGCCCTAGGGCTGTGAACTCTTTGCCAGGGGAATATACTATGAAGTGACAAGAAAATGGGCCCCTGCAGGGCTGGGGTTACATTAGACAGGTAACATGCAAAGGGCCTTGCACTGTGCAGAGGGCAGAAGCACTTCTGGAGAACAACAGTGGTCAGTGAAACTGGAAGGCCAGTAACAGGCTGACCGGGACCACACCTTGGGCAGATGCTGCCAGTGCACTCAGGACCTTCTCTTTTCAGGGATTCGCTGGCCTGAGTGGGGACTGTTTCCTCTCCTGCCAGTTCTAAGTGTGGCTCTGAGAAGAGGGTTCAGGGAAGGAAAGCTGAACACAGAGATGGCTTCTGGGAGGAAGTGCCTTTTTGGACCAGAGGGGACATGCCAAAGATGGGGTTCCTGGGAGAGAGTCATGGGCCAAACTAAGAAGGCTTTATGGCTTAAGGCTTTCTTGCCACTTGGTCAATAAACATCACTGGGCATGCTGAGAAGAACCAGACATGGTGTGGCACTGCCCTCAAGGTGCTCTTAGACCTGTGGGGGGCAATGTGCGTGGGAAGGGAAGGTAGAGAAAGGCAGAGAGGGTGGCTCATGTAGGAGGTGGGGTGTACATCCTGGACAGAGGATGGAAGCTCAGGACGGAGGAACTCGGGTGTCCATCAGGTACGTGAGGCAAAGACAGGCCATTCTGGCAGAGAGAATGAGACACACCCTGTGAAGAGGCACCTGTGTGTCTAGGGAGCACATACGGGCCTATAAACAGCACAGAAGGCACGAGGCAGTCTAGGGGGGGGAGGCCGAGACTCTGAGCCCCTGAGAAGCCATCAGAGGGTTAGAGCAGAATGCCAGGACCAGGAGACCCTCTGGAAAGGCTGATCTGAAAGCTGTGTCAGTGGATCGGCCGGATGGGGATGACTCGAGGCCAGGAGGCCACTGTGGAGGCTGCTGCTGCTCCTGAGGGAGATATGCAAGGGCCCTGAGAGAAGGTCAGGGCCAAGGGGACAGCGAGGAGAGAACAGCAGAGGCAGATCACGGAGAGAGGTGTGGAAAGTGAGGAGAAGGGCAGAGCCAAGACCAATTCTAGTGGCTTGCGCGGCCATGTGCCACTGGGTAGAACGTAGGCTCAGGTGTGCATATGTGTAGCTGATAGCTTCGGCCCTGGGCCTCTTGTGAGGACACTCAGGTGGCTGTATCTCATCAACAAAAGAGCAGATGGGTTGGGTTCAGGGTGCAGAAGGAGTTGGGGCCCAGATCTACTTGCTGAACCACCCGGAGGGCCAGACAAAATCTGACTAGGAGATAAGTTCCTAGGGGCGAAGCCTCATCACCCCAGGACGCAATTTACCAAGAACAGTGTGTCTGACAGATCACAAGAACAAGGGAGTTTATAAAGCTTCGTGCTGCCCCAAATCCCTTCACATCACCTCACATGATCCTCATGACAATCCAGGGCCCCTCACACCACACAGAGCAGCAAACCCATTTTCCACTGGCTCTAGGACACGAGGAGGATAGGATCCAGGGTCACCTCCCCATGGGGAACACCACCTATGGGATAGGTGGCAGGGTCCAAGGTAGATTATTCTTAATCCTCAATACGACCCCAGACATTACCACCTCCTTCCCGGTGGTCAGGAAACTAAGGCTGAGTGCTTGCCCCAGGTTAAAAAGCTAAAAGCAGTAGTGTCAGAACTCTGAGGCCGCCTGTGACCCCAAAGCCCAGGCCTTTGATGGCTGGTAGGCTGGGAGGAAGAATAGCCCCAGTACATACTTATGTACCATGTTTCCTCAAAAATAAGACCTACCCAAAAAATAAGCCCTAGCAGGATTTCTATGCATTTGTTAAATATAAGCCCTACCCCATAATAAGACCTAGTGATGGGTCTTATGGGTCTTAAATGCAAGTGTCTTATGCGTCTTAAATGCAAGTGACCTTGCATTTCCACGTTGAGTGGTAAGGAAGACTGGAATATCTTTTATCTGCCACAGCTCCTTTCTCTGAGCTGTTCGCACTTGCGCGGGTGCGCATGTGGTAACTGCAGTCGCAGGCATCCTACTGCACACGTGTGAAGGGCTAGGGGAAAGGAGTTCATGCATCACTAGCGCCAGCCCCACCAACAAGGATGGCTCCCCCTGTCAGGTTCCAGAAGAAGATGACTTAACTGTATTTGAATAAATGTAGACTGTTGTATTATACTTAATAAAAATAAGACATCCCCTGAAAATAAGCCCTAGTGTGTCTTCTTGAGAAAAAAATAAATATAAGACAGTATCTTATTTTCAGGGAAACACAGTATAGGTGTCAAAACTAATTTTCTTCCCCCAAAGAACTATCCCCGACAGAAGGTAAGGGAGAGTAACTTTCTCAATTGACAAGCTACACCTCTAAGGAGAAACCCATTGCATCGAGGGACAGCACAGAAACACATTCTGGGGAGGAATGAGAAAAGGGAGTCATTGGCACAATCCCCCGACTGTGGGCATTCTGAGGCTTCGAGGGGTGGTCAGGGCCCCACCCCAGCCACACCTCTGCCGGGAGTCTTGCTCTGCTGAACGTGTGATGGGGAAGAAAACATGTAGGACATGCTGGGAGCTTCATTTCTCGGGAAAAGAAAGAGGCGAAGCCGCTCACCTGGAGAGACGGACTCCCCGTCTGGAGGAATCGGTGTGTGCATACAGGGCTTCGGGATAAAAGGTTTGGGCAATTCGGTCAGCGAGGGCTTGTCATGGGGAGGAAGGAAATACCCTGGACTTCAAATTTCTAATGATTGATAAAGTGGCAGGCAGAGAGGTTCCCAAGGCCAGGGAATGAGAGGCCTCCCAGGAGATGGGCAGCTGTACTGCAGGAAACCAACAAAGCAGCTGGGATGGGTTCAATTAGGAAGAAACCCTGCAGCGTCACAGGGGGACCTCAGATGAGCTCAGGTGTGGGGAGGACACCAACCAAACGGGAGGGCCCGTCAGCAGGACCCAGCAGGCAGGGCAAGATCTGTGAGGACAGCACCTGAAGTGGGGCCTCTCAGATGACAGAAGGGCCTTTTCTCCTTGGAAAGAAAGGGGCGTATCCAGAGCAGACCCTGTCACCAACCCTAAGGCAGCAGACCATTCATGTGGGAGTTGGGCTGTCTTTCTCTGAGGAATGACCTTCCTGCTGAAAAGGTAGAGGGAACTTTCAAGAGCAGAGAGAAGCCCCAAGATGCACGAGAAGACAGTGACAGCGTCGGGCTGCCGGGAAGGATTCAATCCTCTGGAAAGGTTGATCTGAAAGCTGTGTCAGTGAATCGGCTGGATGGGGATGAGGTGAGGCCAGGAGGCCACTGCATTATGAGCTGGGCATGGTGCTTTGCGGGGCGGGGGCAGCTGATGGGGCGGGACTGCTTGAGCCTAAGCATTTGAGGCCAGCCTGGGCAACATAGTAAGACCAATCCAATCCAGTCAATCAATTGTACCAAGAACTAAAAGACCTTACGAGATAGGAGAGTGGTACCTTCCTGAGCTGCTTCTGAGAAAATCTGCAGCACCCAGACACCCAGAAGTAACTGAGTAAGGGACAGAGGAAGGCAAATCCAGTGCAATTCTCAAATAGGGAAACAACAAGGCCATACACTCAATGTCTACTATCCATAAAATACCAGAATGGCCCAGAGAAGCCTGTGGCACATTAGGAGGAGACTGAGTCTGCATTAAACACAGAGCCACACTGTGGGACAGGGATTCTTTTTCATGCAGTATTTCTGATGATGCCATGGAGAGTGTGCCTCAGTTTGGGTCTAAGACAGCTTTAACCTCACCTCCCTAATATTTTACTCTATTTTTATAATAGACAGTGACAATGAGAGAGAGCGGGCCTTAGGTTCAGAGCCTGGAAGGCAAGAGTATTTACAGTTTAATACCATCATTTGGTGGTCTTTACACTTCTGCTTGTACTTTCTATTTATGGCAAGTGATGGTTCTGGACTTCTGGTTAAGAAATATCTTTCAAGGAAAACTTACTAAAGGAAAGAACGGTAAGCCAATTTAAACACTACTACTGTAGTAAAACAAAAACAGTACAGTCCTAATGATAATGGGTAAGGTGGCACCCAAATACCACCGCTGCTACCGCTGCTATTACCAGCTAACATTTATATAATATTTGTCATGTGCCAAGCACTCTTCCCAGAAAACTATCTGTATTAACTCATTCAATTCCTCCATAATCCCATGAGTATTATCATTAATCCCTTTTACACAGAGAGGTTTTGTAATTTTCTTAAAGCCACACAGGTAGGAAGTGACAGAGCCAGGATTTGAACTCAGGAAGCGTGGCTTATCCACTACACCACTGTATCAATTGTTTACAAACACTTTATAAAAAAAGTGCTATGAGCCAGCTACAGTTCCCTGAGTTCAAAAAGGGTCCAA